TCCGGAATTTCTTTGCCTCTATAGAGTTCTGTTTGGGTTTTTTGGTCTAGAGTCCTCCTGGTTTTGGCTCATTCCCTTTGCGATGCACCTTCATCTGCTGTTTGCTTCCGACCCTTCCCTCCGCTGATTATTTTTGTAATTGTCGCTGTTGCCATTTTATGTATAGGACCCACGTTGGCTTGTGAAGGTGTTTGATTTTGCCAACATGTCCACATCGTCCCCCACTTCCCACATTATCTGACTGGGTCTCCACGATGACATTCCACTGCTCCTGTGGCCTGTGTCCTTAAATTTCATTAATCTAACCAGAGATTTGTCTTCTGTTTTTCTATGACTTTCCCACTGCGACCCTTGACTTGGGGGCAGCCTGACTCCTGCCCCAGTCCTGAGGAGGTGCTGCTGGCCCAGCTGGCTCCCTACCTCTGGCCAGACATAGTGCTATCTGGCTGGAGAGCTTCCTAATCTGTGGTTGGTGTTGTCACAGGTTCCAATGCAGTTTTTCTCTTTGAAGCCGTGTTTGAAGCCAGGCCAGCCCATCATATCTCTGTACAACTGGAGAGAAAAAGAGCCCAAGGTCTTGAGGCCTTTCCTTTCTGAAGCCGTTCTCTTTTGCAGGCAGCTAAGACAAAGGCGTGCGCACGAGCACTGCGGCTCCTCCTGCTCCGGGCCGAGCCACTCACTGGGAGGCTCTGGACTGGCAAGGGGCCCCAGCTTGAAGGCCTCCCCGGGCTGAGAAGGCCTAGCCCATCTGCACTGAGAGCTGCTCTGTGGGGAAGAAGATGGGAGGGAATTCCTGTCCCTGAGCCCTGCACTCTGCCGGGTGTCATACTTGTGAGGTCACATCCAGCGTGTCAGTTAAAAGTCACAATAGGCCCTTGGGAGAGGTGTCACAACTGGGAGCCAGCCCTCAGCTGGCTGCCCCTCAGGGGCCTCCTGAGGGAGCGGAAGACGGAGCATAGAAGGAGAAGGCGAGGCTTCTTGGGCAGTCCTAAGTCTGAGCTGTTCCTTAAACCGTGACCCACGGCATGAGATTGCAGACTTTCTTGCCCACTTGGAAAAAAGTTAAAGAGAAAGTGGCCTGAACAGCAAAGGCAATGAGGACTGCAAGGCAGGAGAGCTGTGTGCCCCAGGAAGACAAGGCACAGCAAGGTGCCATGAGGAACCAGCAGTCCGAGGCTAGGGGCAGCCAGGGTGGGACTGCCCCAGGCAGGGAGGTCCCTGTGGGTGGAGTGGATGAGGGCCTGGTGCAGGGTAGGCCTCTGGGAACAAGCTCTGCTCTCCAGGCCGGGCTGTGCTGTGCCTGCTGGTTAAGGTTCCTTCGAAAGAACTCCCCCCACCCCCGCGAGGGCTACAAACAATGTACCCCGGGCATACAGCCCTCGAAGTCAGGGCCACTGCTGCTTCGGGGCCTGGGGTCAGCAGGGCTGGTGCGAGGAAAGCAGAGACAGCCCAGAAGTGGAGGGACAGGGTAAGGACGAACTGGAAACCACATCGTGTCCCACCACCTCAAACCTGGACGGTGCAGGTCACCCGCAGGAGGTGGACACAGTTCCCACAGAGCCACACTCGCCCCCAGCCCAGCACTTGGAGAAGCAGAAGGAGGCACTTTGGTGGCAGCAGCAGGTCAGTTGAGCCCCTGCCACAGCAACCTTCTGAGCATTAAAAAAAAGTGACCCCTGTTTCATTTCTCCCTTCCAAATATCTCCTGTGGTCAACCCTAACCGGGGACCATAAAGAGTAGGGAATGCTGGGAGAACTCATTGCAGCTTAGCCTAGGGGACATAGTACACTTGACAAGTGCTGTCCCCTATGTGAGAATGCCTCCCTGCTTCCTCCGCCCCTCCCCATCGCCCTTCTACGTGCGCCTGGGGACATTCACCTTACGCTTCAGAGGCACTCATGTGCCCTCTGCTCCCTGAGGCCCCCACAGCCCTATGGCACCTGTCTCCGTGGGCACAGGCAGGCAGTGCTGGACAAAAGGACCAGGGAGGAGAAACTGCCCAGGCCAGGTTGCTTAAAGAGCAGAGCCAGGAAGCGTCACCCCTGCAGTGGTGCTGGCAGCCAGCTCGAGCACAAGTTCCTGATGCAGCCCCCTTGGCCAGCTTCCCGAGTTCGCCAGGAGCCCAGCACGTCTGGAACACACCAGATGGAAAGAGCAGCAACTTACATAACAATGATGGGAGCTGTCCATCGCGGGAGCAGGCTTGCGCTGCCTCTCCAGCCCTAAACCTTCAGAAAGACAGAGCTCTGGGGCCTACGAGGTGACCACTGGGGCACAGGCTCACCAAGCTCTCCCTCAAGGCCACCCTGAGCCCAGATCTCCGCTTACCCAGACATCGTTGGCTCCCTGGGGACCTGGCTGCTAGGAGAGTCTCTGGAGCCCTGCTCCGGTGGACTTGTTCCCCGAAGCCCAGGGTGGCCACCGTAATGTGTCCACAGAGCAAGACTCAGGTCCCCATGCCAAGCCCCTGTGAGGGAACTACTCAAGGCCAGTTCCCAGGCACCAATTTGGCCCCCCTAAGCAGCCAGCAGGCCTCTCTCTTTCATTGTTCAGGGACCACTCCATAGCGGGGTCCCAGTGGCCATTTGCCAGATAGTGTCCACCTCTGCAGAAGGGAGCTAAGCTGGGGCCAGCTGGGGCGCAGGGCCGGGGGGTGGCGCCAGCAGCATCTGCACTGGGCTCCAGGGAGGGCCGTCAGCTCACCGAGCTGCTGTTCCTGTCATGTCAGCTGCAGATCTGGTCCCGCCCACTGGAAAGGGGGCAGCGGATGGGGTGAGGGCTTCTCCACTCCTGGGGACTCTCCAGCTGCCCCTGGCTACAGGCAGGGACAGGAAGGGGCTGGACTGACATGGACTTGGACTGCGAGCTGGACAGAGGGCACAAGAGGGAGCCTGAGAGAAAAACGTGAAAGGTGCTGTCAACCATCTGGGACATGAGTAAAGCACCAGAGCTTTGGGGAATGGGGACAGGGTAGGAAATTGGGGACAGTGGCTCCCTCAGCAACCAGTCCGCTCAGCCTCCTCAGTTGGCTGGAGTCAGCCCATGTGTTCTTGCTCCAATTCATGGGGAAGATGGAAGCCGCTGGAAGTCTCAGACTCTGGTCAGAGAAGGTTATACAGGCTGAGAGAGAAGCCACCCTGCCCAGTGCCGCCCCCACACACACACACACACTCACTCATACACACGCATAAGCCACACACACACACTTGCTCACCCACACAGATACATGCCACACGCACACACACACTGAAGCTTTGCCCCGACTCCCCAGTCCCAGGGCCTCTCCCTGCTCTCTCCGCAGCTCCTCTCGACCCATGACCAGCGGCACCCCGCTGGCAGGGGTCTGCAGGAAGGCACGAGCGTCACCTGGGCCTCCTGAGAGGGCTTCTCAGGCAAGGGGGTGTGCCTGCTGCTCAGCCCAGATTAGGGGCTCCACTCTCTCCACCAGACTTGCTCCCCTTCAGACTTCAGCCTTAGCACCCAATTCCAAGAGATAGAAGATCAAGGCCCACTCGCCCCACCACTGTCCCCCCAGGGACCCACACCTTAAGCTCCTCTGGCTTGTTGGCCCCCAGACCCATCCTGGAGAGGTTAAGCACGTGCTTCCCAACTCCCAGCCACAAGCAGGTGCTCCACTACAGACGCCTGCTCCTGCAGGGGGTGGGTGCTGTTAGCAGGTGTCACTGGGAGACCCCTGTGCCATGAACAGTCTTTACCAATCACATCATACTGTGGCCGATGGAAGCACAGAGGGAATGAGCTGAAGGACGGCGGGCGTCTCATGGGCGTTCCGGGAGGGCTGGAGAACCAGGCTTGGAAGCTTTGCAGAGAAGGACGAGGGTCTGAATCATGCCACAGTGCTGGGCTGGTGAAGGCACCCCTGTGGCTCCCTCCCACGACTGGGCACAGACACTGTGGTTTGCAACAACAATGTGGGACGCAGGTGCCGCCATGACAACCAGAGCTGCCACTGCTCCTTGGGAAGCAGCTCTCACTGGAGTCTGTGTGGCCCCTGCTTCTTCCCAGTTCTGGACCCTGATTCAGTTGGCAGCAGGTGCATCTGATTGGCGGGGCAGGGTCATGTGCCCACACCCTAGCTGTGAGGAAAGCCGGGAGAGGGCAGACCTGGTATTTTCCAGCCCTCTCCTGGGAGGTAGGCTCAGCCTCATAAAGTGGCAACTTCCCTGGACAGAAGGAATGAGCAGGGTCCACTGGGCCCGCCTAAAAGGTCCAACACCTTCCCCCTGCCCTTAGCATGAAACCCAGCTCCCCCCATCCCTGAACACTACCCCTTCAGAGAGCATTGCCACCTTTCCCTTTGCCCAGATATTCTGGGTCCTCTTTCATTGTGCATCTCACTAGCCTGGTGTTTCTGTTCTCCATAGAGCAAGTCTGCAGGTGGGGGTGGTATGGATATGTTTGTGCCCCCTCTCCCTCAAATCCCACAAGTGTCTAGAGATTTTCCGTTGCTCAGTAAGTGTTGTCATTGTTGTTTCAAGGAGAGGTTTTCACATTTCAGGAACCTCTAATTAAAACACATTTCAGCTTTTTCAAAGACTCTCCGTCTAATACTGGCTTTCTCACAAAGGATGCTAGAGGCCTCTGGGGCATGAGAGTTCTTTGTTGCAATGGCCCCACTCTGTGCATCTTGCACATTTAGCAGTCCTGAATCCCAGGCACTGGATGCCAGTGCTGCCTTCCCCCATTCAAGGAGAAAACCAAGATCACTCCCACCCACTTTCAAAACACCAAGGGACAGGACCATCCCAAGATGAGCACAGTCAGAACCCCAAAGCTGTGTACTTCACCCATAAAAAGGAGGAAAAGCCCTCACCATGTCCTAGTCTGCAGCCAAAGTGCCAACTCTACCCGCTCACTGCAGAAATCTCTCATGTGTGCTGAGCAGGAATCCTTTTCTAGCACCCTGCTCACACCCAGCAGACCCTTCCCTCAATTGCCCACGGCAGAGACGACACGCAGCTGAAACAGTCAATGAAATTTATTGAACTGGAACATTTACTGAAACCATTGAAAACAAGGGAATGACAACATAGAGAGGAACTTCTAACAGCCACTACAGTCCGCAGGTCTTGAAGTCATCCTCGTCCGAGGTCCCTAATGAGATGCCTCAGCTGCCCCCCATGCTGTGGCCCTCCCACCACAGTCTCCCTTCCTGTGGACCCCACAGTCAACCTCTTGCCAGGACGATGGACACTGGTGATGTCTTCTCACTCCAGGGCACCCTTCCGCTTCTGGCTGACAGGCTGGGTGGGGCCCTGCACTATGGCCCACACAGGACAGTCACAGGATGCTGGAGAAAACAGCAGGAGACACCCAACCAAGCCAAAGAAACTGAGCCACAAGTAACAGCAGGTTGGACATCACAGCACAGCCCCAGTGGAGCCTCCCGCAGCCCATGTCCCTGCTGCAGTTCTTCCTTCCCGAGGTCCCTGGGTGAGCGCCAGCTGCACCCTCATCAGTCCATCCTTCCAGGCATCTCCTGGGACTGGGCTTGGGGTCTCCGGGGGGGGGGGGGGGCACTGCTCAGGTAACAACACACACATCTCCATAGGAACAAGCAGCGATTGGCCTAAATCTACACCGAGAAGGCAGAGTTGAGCTCACGGCACTGGACAAGAGTGAGCAGAGCCTGGGCTGGCACTGAAGCTCACAGCACGTGCCAGGGCTGAGAGGGGGCTGCCCGCTAGGCCAGGACACCCAATCTGGGATCATGCACAGCCCAAGGCTCTGCAAAGAAATCATGGCGTGTGTGTGCATGCGCATGTGCGTTGGGGGTGGATTACTGGACACGTGGGTCACTACGGGGTCTACAGAGACACAAGTGGGCTTCCCAGAACAGGGAACACCTTGCTGCACCCAGGTGACAGTGAATGGGGGTCCCCCTCACGGGAGGCCCCAGCGGCTGGCACCCTTGGGATGACCCCTGATCCTGACATATCCCAGGCCCGTGCAGGTGGCAGACATCCTCAGGTGCCCCTCACCGAGGCTGGGGCTGCCACTTGGGAGAGCTGCCAGGCTGGCTGCCTGAGTTGGCAGGGCTGGGGCTCGGGCTCAGTGTGGTGCTGCCTTGGGCGGGGGTGCACCTCTCCCCTACCCATTTGGGGTAACACATGGTCATCTTGGTCACTTGGAAGGGCTGATGGTGGGGCATAGGGCCCCTTGGGGATCGTGGGGGGCCGGGGGCTTGCTTTGGGCTGAGTAGACCCCTCCCTGGGCCTGGTCCCCATGTGGGGTGAGGCGGCTGCCCTGGCCTCGCCTCCCCCTGCCTCCAGGGCTCTGCTACCTGGGAGGAGAGAGGGCCCCTGGGCCATTTGAGCCTACTTGCCCGAGGAGGACTCGGGGCGGCTCATCTCCTCAGCCCCGTCCTCGTCTCCTGGCTCCTCCTGGATGAGCCCCTCCTTGGGGGTCTGCTTGGCCTCCTGGTCTCCTGCCTGAGCCAGGCCTTCTAGGTCACTGCCAGGACCTCCTGGGCCCCCCCCGGAAGTACGGCCCATCTGGGCAGGGGTGGGGTCCCCGGGGGCCTCTGAAGGTCCTGCCTGACCTAGCCCCGCAGGAGTAGGAGCATTTTCAACTTCCCCAGTGGAAGGGGAGGCCTTGGTGGTCGCCTGAGGGCCAGGGGCCACCCTGGCAGCATCATGGGTGTCAGGAGCTGCCTCATCGGCCTCCTCACGTGCTGGGGCGGCCTCAGAGGTGTCTTGCTTGGAAAGGGCAGCCAGGGTAGTATCTTCCTTGGGTGGGGAGGCCTTGCTTTCTTCTGCAGTGACGGGGGTGCCCTCAGTGGTGACCTCACTGGCTGGGGCGGCCTGGGCGGCATCTTCACGGGCCGGGGCAGCATCTTCATGGGCCAGGGCACCCTGGCAGGTGGCTAGGTCTCCAACGTCCAGCTGGGCCCCTTCTTCCATGTGGAACTGCTCACTTCTAGCCGGAGCGCCCTCCCACGCCTCCGTCTCCCGAATGAGCTGCAGCATCCCCAGGAAGCCAGGCGGCCTCCTCTCCAGACGCATCCTCCTCAGCTTGTTCTCGAGCGTCTCGTTGGGCCGGGCCCCCATCAGCACCTGCCTGGCGCGCAGCTGGTCTGCGATGGCGGGCCGGATGGCCCCCTTCTCCAAGGCCGCCTGCAGCAGGCCTTCCAGGCGCATCACATAGGCAAAGAGAGCCTCCTGGGGCCTCTGCGCACAAGTCAGGAACTTCAGCCGTGCGGTCATCTGGGCGTCCTTGCTCCCGAACACCTGCACCAGCGCGGCCAGGCAGTCCTGCGCAGGGGTGTCGGGATTTTCCTCCAGGAGGCCGCATATGAGATCCAGCGCGGGGCCACCCAAGCTCTCCACCAGTCTCCTCCTCCTCTCCCTCTCTGACATGTGGCGCCACAGGTACAGCGTGTCGTTGGCATGGTGCAGCCAGCTCTCAAAAGACTCTTCTCCACAGCCCGGCTCTTCCACCCCAGAAAACCTTCTCAGTACCCGGTAGGCCATAGCATCGAGCAGAGACTGCAACGTCTGCCGCCAGTGCTGGCTCCGGGCTGCTGCCTCGTTGATGGCTCTTGCCACACCTGCAGCTCCTTCGTCACCTGGAGCCTCCGCCTCAGCTGTAGCTCCTGCCATGCTCACAGATCCTGCCACGCCTGCAACACCTGTGTCCCCTGCGGTTCCCTCTTCATCTGATGCTCCTGCTTCCTCTTCAGCTCCTGCCTCGCCCTCAGCTTCCTCCTCGCCCTCAGCTTCCTCCTCACCCTCAGCTTCCTCCTCACCTGCGGCTTCTTCCTCACTTGGGGCTCCTGCCTCACCTGTGGCTTCTTCCTCACCCACAGCTCTTGCCACATCTCCAACTTCCTCCTCACCTGCAGCTCCCGCCTCACCTGCAGCTCCTGCCATGCTCACAGATGCGACCATGCCTGCAACTCCTGTGTCCCCTGCAGCTCCCTCTTCATCTGAGGATTCTGCTTCCTCTTCAGCTCCTGCCTCGCCCTCAGCTTCCTCCTCACTCTCAGCTTCCTCCTCACCTGCGGCTTCTTCCTCACTGGGGGCTCCTGCCTCACCTGGGACTCCTGGGCCTCCAGCCTCACCTGTGGCTTCTTCCTCACCCACAGCTCTTGCCACATCTTCAGCTCCATCCTCACCGGCAGTTCCTGCCTCCTCTGGGGCCCCTGCCTCAGACACACCTGCAGCTCCTTCCTCACCTGGAGCCTCTGCCTCAGCTGCAGCTCCTGCCATGCTCACAGATGCTACCATGCCTGCAACTCCTGTGTCCCCTGCGGCTCCCTCTTCATCTGAGGATCCTGCTTCCTCTCCAGCTCCTGCCTCACCCTCAGCTCCCTCCTCCCCTGCGGCTGCCTCCTCAACTGCGGCTGCCTCCTCCCCTGCAGCTCTGGCCACACCTGCCCTGCCAGCCACTGCTTGCCTCTGGGGCTGTGCAGGGAAATTGGGTCTATCCCGTGACTCAGAATCAGGGCCCTGGGGCAGGAAGAACACATCCCAGAGTCCCCCCTTGCCTGGTATCTGTCGGGGGACCAAACTTCGATTTAAATACTCAGTGAACTCCACCAAAGCGACCCTGAACCCGAGCTCCTTTCTGAAGACGTTGCCCAGCACTCGGTACCTGCCCAGGGGCCACAGGGCAGCCCGCACGGCCTCCTGGAATTCCCGGTCCTCGCAGTCCTCCGGGATGCCCAGGATGAGCAGGGAGCGCTGTGCGTTTGCGCCACTCCACCTGCACCAGTCCTGCAGCATCACCAGTGGCATCACCATCACTGAGGACCTGAGGGCGGCCAGAAGGGACTGGACGGGCGTGCACGGACTCTCGCAGTGTGGGCCTCGGCCTGCGGGTGCAAAGGGGAGAGAGGCGTGTCTGTGCCACACAGCCCACCCCTCCGCCCCAGCCAGAGCCCCGGGCCCCTCACGCTGGGTCCTGGAGCGCCTCCTCTCCCTGCTGGCTTCGTCGTTGGATCTTAGGAAACCTCTTCGATCATAAACCACATTGCTTCACAAGATGGAAGGCTACCCACATTTTCTACCTCCTCTAGCCTCGGGGCTGGGGGGGTCGCCTTGTTCCCCAAGGACTCTCACGTTTTCCAATTTGGGGCATGAATTTCCCCAGGATCCTGCCTCCTTCTCTTCCACGTGCTCTGGCCTGCAGTGACAGCCCTCTTTCTTTCCTTCCCGGCAGGGTGACTCCTGTCCTCTCTTTGTTCGGGGTCACTCTAGGCTGGGCTCTGGCCCAGTCCCAGGCTGCCTGAGCAGAGCCCGCGGAGGGCCCGCCCTGTCCCTCCCTCTCCCCCGCTCTCTCTCACTGACCTCCCCTCCGGGCGCTCTGGTCTCTTCCGTAGGGCACGTTGGGCTCTCTCTGCTCTTCTCTTTCTAGCTTCCTTCAAGGGACGTCAGGGCCCCGAGTCCGTGTCCTCCTCCTGTTCTACGGCGCACACTTAGAGCTGTCCGTCTTCCTCGGATCGATCGCTTCCTGCGCTGCCTCCCACTACTTTGGGGAAGTTCTATTTTCCTATCACTCGGTTTGAAACGCTTCCTGAGTTCCTCTGATTTCCTCTGATTTCTTCTTCCACCTACAGGTTTGCAAATCTTTAGAGACGTGTTAATCGTTGTTAACGTCAAACAAAATCCCCGGGCGACCAGGCAACTTATTCTGTCAAAGCGCAACCCTTTTAAACTTAGGGAGACGCTCCTAGGGCCCGAAGTATGGCGTCCCCCGGTGACCCCTGCGAAGGGCCTCTACTTTCCGCGGAGGCCAAGGCCCTGGCCCTCCACCGCGGCAATCTCTGTGCACCCACCCTCCACTGAGGCGACCTGGAGCTTTTCAGACACCCGCTGCGGGGGGCAGAGCCCCTCCCCGGACCCTCCCCCACTCCACCGCCCAGGGCACCAGCCTCCCGCAGACCACTGCCTCCCCAGCGCCTCGCCCTCTCTGTGGCACCTGCACCCATGCTGCCAGGCCCTCCTCTCCCGCACCCCTCCTCAGCCAGTGGCCCCCCACCTTCCCGCCCATCCCCCTGCCCATGCCCGGGCGCATCCTCCCCAGACCCGAAAAGCGCCCTCCCCGCCAGCTGGGAGCGCTCCCCTCCAGCCCTGGGAAGCAGGGCGCCCCCACGTGCTTGGACGTTATCCCGCCCATCCGGCCTCCAAGCCCGGAGTGCTCCCCCTAGTGGGGGCAGTGGGAGCTCTGCCCTCCCGCCTCCCACCCCACAGATGCAGGGCTGCCAGCCTGCCCCCGTCCCCCCCACCTCCAGATGCAGGGCTGCCAGCCT